CAATTTTTAATCATATACTATAGAAATTTTTATTCTATTAACGACATCAAAATTTACATTACATTTCATGAAAAAGTCAAACTTCAGCCAACATATAATATATATTTTTCTGAAATTACTCCAATCATCCATTTTCTTTACAAACAACAATAATACAAAATATTTACTTAGCAGTGGCAAATTATTTTTATTTAAGTGCAAACATAAATATATATCGAAATTCCAATATTATTATTATCCTAATTCTAATTTATTGATGTTACGATTCCAAATTGCGAATAGTAAAATTTCAATTCACTGATATTTCGATTGTAATTAGCCACATTATTAATAAAGCCATTGACTCATAGACTTCATTACTTACAAAATTACACATTCACTCTTAACATCTGGAAGATACTTAGTAAATTTCAATTATTGATAAAATAAATTAAACGTAAGTTAATGTGTGAAAAAATAGTAGAGAAAATTAGTGTTTAAAAGATTGAAAAAGTGTAATTTGAAAGAAGTCTATTAAATCAACGTCTTTCATGCTTTTTTAATAAATGAAATTGTTGAGTTATCAAAATTTGCTAAAATATTTCAATATGTATGAAAAATGAACTTAAATATGCATGAAAATTTGCTAGCACCTGTGGCATCATTCAAAAACTAGTCATTTTTAGTCGCATTAATTAAAAAAAATTGTTCTCAATTAAATTTAATATATTGCAACATAAAATTTGTTTTAGAAGAAAGTTTTTTATAATAGCTTGAAATTGTGGAATGGAAAAGTAATTATCTTCTTCCATGCTTATAATTTTTAATAGTGTTAGATGAAATTATTTGGTACTAAAAAGAAATTAATAAAAACAGGTATGAATAATTGTGATGATGTCGGATAAAATGTTTACAATTTGATAGTTTCACTAACTGTTTTTATCAAACTTATTAACAAAATGTTTAGCTTAAACATTCATCCATTAAATTTATTTATAAATATTGCCATTAGCAGTTTTTCATGTTTTTTTCTTTTTCTATTTTATTTTGGAATGGTATTGAATATATCTATAAAGTTTCGAAATCGAATAAAATATTTCATATTTGATTTCCTACTAAATTGAATTAATTATACTTTTCATATGCTCCACATTTTCATGCTATTAGATTTCATTCAGTCACGTTGTGGCCGCGTTAATTATCATATGTTTTTGGATTTAATTTAAGGGAAAGAAAGTAAGGAAGCTTCGGGGTTTTTAATTTGGTATTTGTTTCTGGCTTGACCTTTGTAGCCTGACCTGTGGTCACAGTTAAAGTTTTATTTAATTTTGGAAACTTATTATTTTTGTCATTTTAATGAATTCATTAGGATTATCATTAGAATGTTCGATTATTTATTGCTGTTCATCTTTCGTTTATCGATATTAACATTGGATGGATTACTGTTTTATTCTAACGGTTTTCCAGCTGGAATGAATAGTGACCAATTACAAGATTGGCTCACTGATTTGAACGAACGATGGAAAAATGACACAGAGAAACAGGCACTGAAAGATGTGGAATATGAACGGACACAATTAACTCATGAAACTTACAAAACTCACTATTTAATCAACTATATCGGTTGTAACTATACTGATGTTGACTTAGTGCAACCGATTATAGCACAACTTCTTGCATGTTATTATCGTGGAGGTTAGTTTTTTTTAATGACTGTAAACTAATTAATGTAGTTTGTAAAGCATTGAGTTAGATAGTTGACATTAGTTTATGAGAAATAATAGTTTGACTGGGTTTCATTGTAAATTTTAATGTGTTTGACAAGACATAGCAAAATACTCATAGTTGTGGATTAACATTTTTATCTTAGAATTTTTGGAGCCGGATGAAATTGGAAAATTTATTTTTTATATGATTAGTACATTAAACGATTTGCTGTACTAAATTGAAGAGCATACTTTTCGAGGTATACTTCTAAAGTGATGTAATTTTATACACGTGTTTCGTTTCCTATAGATAATGGAATGAATCATGAAGATCGATTTTTCTCACGTAATAAATTTCAGGTATATTGCGCTATTTTGTATTGCAATGCATTCCATCATTAATTCATATCTATCTTGTGGCACTAGCTAAACGTCAAAAGAAATCAATTTCCATGTTTGAAACATTTTTTCTTGCTATTTATAATGAAGAAATACTTGCCGGTGGTACTTTATCCGGATCGGTGACAAAGAAAATAGAGGAAGTAAGTATTTTTGAAAGTAAAGTTAGATTTATTGCTTTTTTCACACTTTATTTTTTATTTAAATTTCTTGAAATGTTTGGTTATATCTTTATTTCGACGTGATCGGGCAACAAATTTTTGATTTTTTCTTGACGTGATTATGCTTAAGTCTGTTTTATTAATAATTGAATATGACATCTAGCATTAAAACTTTTTAGATATTAGAATTTATTGCATGTAAAATTGATTTTTGCATGCATTAAATCAACCTTCGAGAATGTGCTGTTATTTACAGCTCTTCAGTTTGAACGAAGATGATCAATTCAGTTTAATTTGCGATTAACTTTGGATTGAATCGACAAATTTGCTTGAATTGAATTATCGTTGCTTTCTTTATATCTTTAATATATGATCATTAATAAGCTTTCAAATAATTCAAAATGTATCCGCAGTGGGCTCAAATTCCTTTTCTCTTCTTCTTAATATCATAGTAGCATATTATTCGATTTGGCTTGCATATTTTTAAGATTCGGATACCATCCATACGTTTCCCAAGCGTATATCATGATCCAAAGAAGCTGAATTTTGCCTCAGACATTGCTTTTAAACCTGGAACACCCGCGTTTGTGCAGGTAACAGTTGAATTTCGATTTTATTAAGCAACTGTGTACATTTTGTTCTAATTCTCTCTCTCTCTCTCTCTATACATATATATATTTTTTTTAGTTTTTGGAAACTTCTGTTTTTGTTTTTTTTTTTAGCTTATTCAAATTTTGCAGAAAACTGTACGAATCGGTCCTTACAAATCGGTGGATAGGATTATTCCACAAAATAGGCAAACAATATTGACTCGTCTATTAAAATCCGTAAGTTTCTGTAAATCATGACTTGACTTTTAATTAAAATATATGTGGTAAAATTTGGGATGAGATTAGAGAGCGACTAACAGTCTTTCAGCTCATAAATTTTTTTTTCAGGTCAATGGGTGTCTCTGTAGGTTGTCGCGTGATGTAATATGTCAATGTGTATGCTTGAGCACCATAGCTCTTTGTCAAAGCGGGTTTTCTTTTCGCGAAACTTCTTTAGGGTTACGAGTTTTTGGCAGTAGTTTTCGTTCTAAAGAATCTGATGATTTTTCAAAGTTAGCAATCTTCTGTTTTTCTATTTTTTTCTTTTATTTTACTTAAGGATTTCTAAACGAATTTCTAGTATTTTGGAATAAAGCTAGTCTTTAATGAATTGTTCTTCATGTTACTGAGATTTTAATATGCATTTATGATTCATCATGAGACTTTCTCACATATTTCTTTCTTCTGCTATTTTATTGCCTTATAAAGAGCAAATACTGATAATCATTGTTCTACAATCGTGTATGTAACTTAGATACTTAACTTTTAAATTTTAAAAGCATTTTATCATTCTCCTAAAAGGTTGTGCATAGGGAATGACATCTGTCATGATTTAAAAAAGTTTGCAGAAAACCAAGATTACGAATCTCATCGCAATATCTGTTGGAGTCTTTGAATGGTTTATACTTTGCATTGTTCAATGGTGCGCCAGAATTAGCTGTTCAGGCTATTGATGTTGTGCATCAAAGAGCTTTGTATGAATTCTATGCAGACGTTATTCTGGTATGTTTAATTAATTTTTGATTTCTTGCCGGATTGATTAAACCATTGAATAATTATCTTTCATTACTCATTTTTTATTATCACGAGATCAAATCTTATTTTATTGCAGGTAACGAATAGTATTAGCGAGACTCTGCTTGAAAGTAACTTTCATAAAAATGAAGAATTATTGACAACCCATTGGGTGCGTCCTGGAAAATTGGATAGTCATAAAGGAAATGAAGTGGTAACAAATGCTTCCTTTCGGCTGAAGAAAATGCCAGAAGATATTTCACCTGTTGTAGATAATGATATGAAAGGATTTAATTTTTCTGATAGTAAGTTAATTTTTTTGGTGTTTTATTTACTTCTAAGTTCATTAATTTTTGTCACCCTGCAAATGGTAACATTTTATTTCTTGGGTCTCTTATTGGATAGTAAGTGAGTCAACTTATCAGTGTCCTATTTGCCATTTCTTTTACACATGTGAATGTCATTTTTTGTATGCTGATTACCTTTTATTTCGCTACATAACAGAATTATTTCTGATTTACATCATCTTAGCGATATACTTCACACTACACATGCAGCTTGTTGATGTCTACATCTTTACGTAGTGATAGTGTAGTTATTTTACAAGTTTTTTTTTTAAGATTTTACTAGTTTTTAATATTCAATGATAAATTTTATATCGCAAGAAAGGAAATATTATGAATTCTTTTATTTCACATATTTAATTTCAGTTTAAGTTTTCTTATGATACAATCATTATAAGTTATAGGCGTTGAAAATTTCAAGAAGCGTATTACCGTAAAAGTGGAACAGTGCAAGTTAAAGCGCCAGTTCGGGAATCACAGGCGAAGATCAGTGAGTAATTTTTTTCCATTAAAATCCATTTTCTAAACGTTTCGGTGCAACTAATAGTACTTCATTAAGTATACTCAAAGATTATATTGTTTGCTTAAAATGCATAAAACGAAAACTCTTGATTCCGGTGAAGTAATGAGTTGTCCTGAAATTTTTGTAGTATTATGTTTCTGAAAGCAGAAAATTAAACAAATGAATAGTAATTATTTCATTTTTAAGTTTAAATAACAAACTGCTTTAGGGAAATAGTATTGAAAACGTAGGTGATATCGATTTGGTTCCGATCAACGAAGAACCAGCTTCAAGTGAAGTACGGAACTCTCTAATTGTTGGTTCTATCGATCAAGCCACATATCAGAATTCATCACGACACAATTCCATCTCATATGGTTTGGCAAATTCTGACAGTAATGTTTCGGTTTCATTTCGACAAGATCAAATTCATAATGGGACATCACCAAAACCGAGAAATGAATTAATTGACTTTTCGGTGTCAAAAGATGGTGATTTATTTGAAACCGTCAAACCAACATCTGTAAAGGACAGCATACGTGACTTATCAAAGTGGCATGGCAATATTCAACACATCGATAGCGTAACTGATGCTTTGGAAGGCACATCGTTATGAAGAGTTTGAAGCTCATCCGAATTTCCAATTCATCTATAAGTTCAGGAGTTAGGGATTTTGTATTTTTCAACTCGAAAATTTTAGGATCACAACTTTGTTTAGAAGTGGTTGCAATTGTAATTCTTTTAGTAGCTCTTT